AAAATAAAAAATAAAAAAATTACATAGATAAAGCCCTAAAGCTTAAAGTGTGGGCTGTACTTGTCAGAACAATTTTTTGTATCTCCTTGGGGCATGGACTTCCAGGAATCCCTTCAATAATCTAACTGAGGGGGAGAGCAGCACGCCAACAAAGTAACGTTGCTTTGTGAACATCTTAAGCCCAATGCAAGCATCATGGCATTAAATATGCGCAGTACGAGGACATGTTACGATAAAATCAGAATATAACATCGGAGTTGGGATTAAGTTTTAAATACGTTCAGGTCGGCTAAGCTAGACTGATCAGAAGGTCTCTACTTGAGGGTGTCCAAAAGTATCTAGATATGATTTCCTAGTTTCCTTGACTACCTGATCCTTCAACCTTGAAAACAAAACAAAACAAAAAAAATTAAGGTGGTGATACTACGCAACTACTCCAATTTTAGATATTCAGTGCCTAACTGGTTATGGTGGAAAATGGATAGCGGCTCGGATTGAGGAACTGAGGAGCCGAGTTCGAATTCCAGTCGAATCCATTACATTCAATCGTCTACTTCTCACTACAGCCATGGGGAAATTTAGGACAGACTGGGTTCTATAGTTTGGATGTTCTACCGCAGAAAGAAATGGCAACAAATGGAAAAGATCTGCCTCATCAATAATATATCGAAAGATAGATGATCGCCTAAGCGTGTATCACCCATGGCACATAACTGACAAGGAAATTTGTGGTATGGAACGATATAGAGGTACCTAACTGGTTATGGTCAGGTCACGGTGGAATAATGGATAGCGGCTTGCATTGAGGAATCGGAGAGCCGAGTTCGAATTCCAGTCGAATCCATTACATTCACTTACGTGCTGATATTCTTGGGAAAGGTGTGAATCCTCTTCTTCTCCGTCCAGCTATGGATAAATAGCAAAACAGACCCGGTTCTATAGCCTTGGATGTTCTACCGCAGAAATAAATGGCAACCTACTGCGGGAAAAAATCTGCCTCGTCAGTCATGTATCGAAAGATAGATGATCGCTTAAGCGTGTATCACGCATGGTACATAACTGATAGTCAAATAACATAGCCAACTCCTGCTCAAGTGATTTCAAGTTTTAACAGTATGTGAAAAGCTAACTTGAATGTATCTTTTTCTTTTCTTTTGTAGGGGGGGAAGAATGACGTCCACTAGAAATGAAAAGGGATTTTGTGTGTTAGGATATGCTCGACGACAGTCAAAATGAACTCATTGTTAATCAGAATGAACACGTCATTTTTCAACAGGATAGGGCTCCACCTCATTGGAAGCTGACTGTGCCTACTTATCTCAATGGGAATCTACTCGGAAGATGGATCTGGCATGCCAGTGACAAGGATAATGTGCTGTTGAAATGATCACCACGTTCACCTGACTTGACACCTTATGATTTTTTTCTATGTGGCTATGTGAAAGGACAAGCCAATATCCCCACTACAAGCCTAGAGGAACTTAATAAGAGAGTCAAGGCGGCGGAGGAGAATGTTACGCAAGTCATGCTACAGTGTGTTTGGCAAGAGCTGGACTACCGACTTAATGTATGTCGTGTCACTGGTGGTGCGCATATTACACATTTGTGAAGCTTTGTGAAAGCGGTTATAAAATCTACATTGCTTTGAATATGTTGTTTGAATTTTTATAAATAAATCTTTTATTGTACAACATGAAGCCTGTTTAATTTAATTTACTTGGGATATGTAGTTACTTAGATATTCACATTTTAAATGATGTCATTTTCGGGGACACCCTGTATTTGCTGTAGTTCATCTTAATTCACTAAGGTGGTATATAGGCACATCTCGTTGAAACACTGGTTGCCGTACAAACACCGAAGTTAAGCAGCAAAAATAATGACTTGATTTTATCATAAAAGACAAGAAATCCAGGAAATTTATGGTTATTGACATAGCAGTAGCATCTAAGAGAAACACTTCCATAAATATTATCGAGAAATTGTCCAAATACAAGGACCTGAAGATCAAGATTAACAAGATGTGGGGAATGAAGATTGAGACTGTACCAATAGTAATCGGAGATTTGGGCCTCTTGAGCAAAGGAATGGACAATTTTACTAACAGCGTCCCAGGTAATATCAATATAAAAGATGCCCAGAAAATCGTTCTACTAGGAACATCCCATATACTAAGAAAATTTCTATCAATTAAATGGCAATTCTCCTATAGGGCCTAAAGACCATAGTTTGGACCTGGCTCTAAGGGATAAAAAGTGGGAAACATAACACACAAACAACAACAACAATAATAATAAAAAATAATAATAATAATAAAAATAATAAATAATAATAATTATGATAACATATTCTTTTATAGAAACGAACCTCTAATAAATAGTCTGTTTTTCAATTTTTTTCACATTACTATCAAAATGCTTTCCCAGTGACGCGAGTCTGTTCACTTTCTCTCATTAATTATAAGACCCCCTCTCAGAATATATTCGGACTGTTCCCTAAAAATGTCCAACTTATTTAATACTAGAAGTATAACCCGTTTCGACTGGGTGTTTCATTACTGGAATATTTCAATGCCATTCAGTTGGAGCCGGTTAAGTTTAAAGTCAGCCCACCCGAAAATCAATATTAGTAACAATAACGGTGAGAAATCGAGGCACAACCCCAAATGGGGAGTTAACAATTTGAATGTGGGGTGGCCCTGAAAAGAGCCGTTTTTGTGTTCTCAATTTTGCAAGGAAGTAACATCTTCCATGAACCGTTATAATAATAATATACGATGATTTTTATTTAAAATATAATTTTATTTTATAATTCGAATAATCTTTTGCGTTAGATTTCAACTCTCTAAGTACGCTGTTTTTACAGACATTAACTTTTGCTTTTGACTTTTGCGCAAAGTGTAAAATGTCAGTTTTTTTGATTTTTCACCTTCAAAGTTGTAATTTTTCCAGCCAATTTGGACTCAAAACCAGCAGTGAAGAATTATCTATGAAATAAAAAAAAAATTGTCGAAATCTGATGAAAATTGTAGAAACGCATAAACAACATCCGATCACACACATACACACACACACACATTTTGAGAATTATGGATATAGGTGGTTGTTCTTCTAAACTTTTAGTTTTTGATAGTTTCGATCAGACTGAATCATAATATTCCATATTCTACAGGCGTATATTTTTAATCATCTGCTCTTCTAAAAAATGCATTTCAAGAATTGTATAAAGTCTTTCATCCATATGAAATTCGGAAGGTACGGTCTTTGGAGCGAATCACCGGTGTCAAACAGAGTTATTAGCTGCTTAAATCCCGTACCCTTTTACTTACAAGATTGATAACTCGAGTCATGTTCATAAATAACCTCGTTAGATTGATACTTCCATCTGGATGCCATGCATAGCGCCAAACCGGTTTAGAAATAAGGACAATCTTCTTGGATTGGCGCTAGAAAATCACAATCAAAGAACTGTACCGAATACCAGAGACCACAGAAAATTGATGTCGTTCAACAGCAGCAACAATTCAAATGGATGTCATGTACACGGCATCAAATCATCCCCATTCTCTTCTTACTCCTTTGCTAATGAACAAGTTCCACTCAGAGTTCTTTTTCACTAGAACTTTCACTTTGTGGAACGAACTCCTGAGAGGATGCTTCCATGAAATCAACAATCTTAATCTATTCAAATCTAGGACCAACCGATATCTATCCTACATATCCTCATAATATATACATCTTCTTACTTTCTCCCTTCTTACTCCTGCTTGAGTGGCTCCTGTGCATTGTATTAAGTGAACGATAGCATGAAAAAATGTAACTCAAAGATAAAATAATGATATAAACAAGATTTTGATGTCCCATACTACTACAAACAAAACGTTTGGAAGGATGCCTCCATTAATACTGAAAAGATCTCTAACAATTAGTGGAATTTCATCGGACATTGGAACTGGCTTTTCTGTCAAAGGATTCCAAATGTTTCCTTATAAGGAAAAGGCTAATATTACCATTACATTTTTGTAGAACTAATTAATGTATATTGTGTAAATTAACAATTTATCTAAACTCGGTGAAATGAAGTTTAGCATGTCATTATCCCTGCTCATTAAGTGTGGCCTTGTGTCGAACCTATAATAATCTTAGCAAACCTCCCTGCACTCTAGCAGCAAAGTCAACTTCTCGAGAGCGCTTCACTACGCCAGCTTGGTCTCACGTTTTCCACTGACCTGAGGTGGAACAACTATATTGAATCAATAGCTGCATCTATCGCAAGTAAAGTTGGTTCACTGTGTCGCGCCAAAAGGTTTTTCTCGTTTGAGTCATCCTCATATCTACACATCTGCTATTCGTCCATGCATTGAATACTCGTACCATATATGGTCTGGTGCCCCCGCTGTTTATCTCGTGGTTTTCGACAAAATCCAAAGACGGATATGCAATGTGATCAGTCCTCCCTTGGCAGTTCGACTCTAGTCATTGTCTCACAGACGTGAAGTGGCTTCTCTCCGTCTTTTCTACAAATATTTTAATGGCAACTGCTCGGATGAGATATTTTTTTACTGGTGCCTCAACTGCATGAATTTAAGCGTGCTGCTAGATTGGCTTCTCGGTCCCACCCTTTTACTGTCGAAACAGTTAAATATAACCTCTTCTTCCAACAGCTTCTTCTCTCACTCTTCCCGACAATGGAACTCTCTTCATGTTACTTGCTTTCCTGACAACTATAATCGTCAAAAATTTAAATGTAATATCAATCGACATCTTCTGATGCCTTGAATCTCGTTCCTTAATCACCACTGTATCCAGTTTTCTCTCTTTCACTCACCGTAACCCCTTGCGTACAAGTGGCACTTTTGCCTTACTGTAAGTATCGGGTCATCTTCTTCTATGAACAGTGACCCTCTAGGGTGTTGGCGATAACAGCTAACCATACTTTCCTGGACATTTGTAGCTCTTAATAATTTTTTTTTTTTATCTCTACTAAATCTTATTCTGTTTTACGGCCATATCATGTTGAAACACGACTTTCCGTACGATCTCCAAAGTTAAGCAATGTCGAGCCTGGTCGGTACCTAGATGGGTGATTGCTTGAAAATATGAGGTGCTGTAAGTTTGGATACATGGGTGGTGCAATGGATAACAGCTCGGAATTTTTAATCGGAGAGTCAAGTTCCAATACTAACTGGGTTCGTTATATTCACCTGTGAAACAGTATGAATACATCTCTTTTTGTTAATTAATAATATATATATATATATATATATATATATATATATATATATATAAGATGGAAATTAAGGAGGATTTGAGATAATTAAGTAATTCATCGAGTCTAGAAGAAATCTCAACAGAATGCACTGGACGACAGTTTCGTCCTATATTTGGGACTCATCAGCAGTGCGCATCCACTACTGAGAATTGAAACCCGGACAGTTACATTAACAGGCAAACGTCATACCAACTGTACTAACGGGCATCGGTGACGAAGTGGTATCGAACTAGACTCGATATTGCGCCGCTCGTTCACATATTCTGTGGTGCAGGACTGTGCCTCCGAGAGCCACGACTACCACCACCAAGCCGCTCCATCCAGAGCATTAGAAGCCGGTTCAAGCAAGGATATACAAATGACAGACTCGATGAATTACTTAATATATATATATATATATATATATATATATATATAACATTGTTATTTCTTAAAAAATAAATCCTTACAATCTAAATATATTTTCTGGGTTTAAATAACATGCAAAGTTTTGATTCCCAGCGAGGAAAGCATTGATTCTGTTCACGTGAAGGTGGATGACTAGCGGTTGATTATGAATCAAATAACCAATAGAATTATCATATCTCGTGAGAATATTTTGCACAATGAACTTAGTATGACGAAGGTTTCTGCTCGGTGGGTGCCACGTCTTCTGACAATAATCCAAATGCGCACCAGGCTGATCATTTCACGGTAAAGTCTGATATTGTTTGAGCTGGTTTCCTTGAACGTTCCCTAAATCAGGATGAGTGTTGGGTTCACCACTTTGAGCCAAAAAAAAGGGTGGGTGGAGGGGAATCGATACAGTGGAAACATATCCTCCTCACCTGCTTCAAAGAAGGCCATGGTAGTTTCCTCTGCAGGAAAGGTGATCTCCTCAGATTTATGGAATGCAAAAGGCATTTTGTTTATTTATCTTCAAAATGACCGCAAAATCAATGCAGAGTTCTTTACCAATTTCTTGAGTCCGTTACGAAAGGCTATGAAGACTAAAACGCCGAAGATAACTAAGCCTTGTTTCATCAGGACAATGCTCCAGCATAGAAGTCCTTGGTTTCAATGGCTGCTAAGCGTGACAGTGGCTTTGAACTGGTTGATAACCTTCCCTATTTTACTGTTTTGGCCCCATCTGATTCTCATCTGTTGTCCAAAATACTTGGCTGGGACCAGTATCGCATTGATGATGATACCATTTCTACTATGGAATACTTTTTACGAACAAGATGAAAACTTCTTCACCAATGGCCTCCAAACATTGCAACACCAATGGATGAAGTGTGTGGGCCTCAATGGGGACTATGTTGAAAAATAAACCTCATTTAGTCGCATTCCAGGAGTGTAATTTGGTCAGCCTATAAACTTTTCAGTCAACCTTCGGACAACGCTTTCTATTTTTATATATTTCAGTCGGCTATGTGCCATGGGTCATACACACTTTGGCGATCATGTATCTTTCGGTACATGATTGATGAGGCAGATTTTTCCCTCATTCGGTTGATTTCTATCTATCCAAGGCTATAGAACCCGTTCTGTTTTTCTTTTTACCCATAGATGGGAGAAGAGGATTCAGCCTTTTCCCAAGGGTATTAGCCCGTAAGTGAATGTAATGGATTCGACTGGAACTCGACTCTCCGATTCCTCAGTCCGAGCCTCTAACCATTACTCCACGTGAATTCATTTTCTATCCGTATGCAGGTTTAGTACATGAATAGTGTTTTTTTTTTTTCTTTTTTGGCAAAGAATTTGATTTGCTTTTTTACTACAAATTAATGGGAACGAGTTCCAAACGACACACTGGTATTCTGCTGGTTTTCTGTAATCTTCAGACCATTTTCTACTATACGCTTAAAATTTTCGGCGTTGATTTATTCTTTTTGTCCTCACGATTCTAACGTCTTCTCTCCATTTACGAAATTTGAAGAACGCAAATGCTTTGTCATTGTAGCCAAAAATGAGTATTTCTGAAAACTTTGGATCCATTACCGAATAATTTTTATTTAAACAAAAAAGAAAATCCTACGTGTCAGATAGTTACTGAAATTAAACAAAAGTAGACATTAACGAATAATAAAGAAATATTATATTAAAAAAAATGGAATTAATTATTTTCAGTTATATTCCGTTCTAATAGGAATATATACTTGAAAAACAAGGTGGATAAAATGAGTAAAGGTTTATTGTAAAAAAAGATAGTACAATAAGAATAAAGGTACCAGTTATGCACAAGTGGTGGGTGCTACTATTGGGAGTTCGGTAGGTCTCGCGTAAGTCTGAGTCGTACTCAACAGATCCCGGCTATTAATATTTACCAACGTCCCCACGGAGTAGGATGTGGCACAAGGCCGAATTTAATGTGGGGTAAACCGAGCCCGTAGGCTCGGTCAAAAATTCCCCGTAACCCTGCATACACAGGTTCGTGTCTGTCTACTTCCCCAGAAAAGACTCAGCCCTTCGACATAACCTCGTCCGGGTTCCTCTCTGACCGACGACAGAAAGATCGACAACAGCTAAGATCTGAGTAACAGATCCCAGTTAGACGGCATCTAGTAAGTGCCCCACGCAGTCACACGGGACACAAGGCGGGAAAGATTCGTCCGGGTTCCTCTCTGCCGAGGCATAGTGTTCGACAGTCACGAACAGTCTGGTCGACTGTTTATATTTAACAAGACAACCCGCAACGAGGGATGTATGTGGAATAAGATCGAGTTTACCGTGGGTTCTCCGAGCTCGAAGGCTCGGCGAAAAATATTCCCTTAGAAGCCGCATATACGGTTTCAGGGAGTGTCTACATCCCCGGACGAGACTTTGCCCTGCGGCGAAGCCTCGTCCGATTTCCTCTCTGCCGAGGCAGAGAGTTCGACAGTAAACAGTCTGGTCGACTGTTATATTTGACAGTCCCCCTACAAGAAATCTATGTGGCACAAGGCCGAGTTTAAGGGACTGTCTACCCCGCCCCCGGACGAAACTTTGCCCTGCGGCAATGCTTCGTCCGAGTTCCTCTCTGCCTCGGCAGAGAGATCGACAGAAAATGAACAGTCTGGGGGACTGTTCCCCCAAAGCCTTCTCTCCTACTAATCTTATAGTAGGCGGAAGAGTCCAACATAGAATCTTTACAGGGGAGACACCACAACTGTTTTGTAACGACAAAAGTACGCAGGTGTAGGCTTTTAGAAATTTTATTCAAATGAGAAGACGAGGGTCGCTTATAGTGTCATTTTATAATTCCAATAAATAGAAATAGTCCTCTCAATGATTATCCAAAACACGTTTATTTTATATTATTCTGTAATTCTTCCCATCCCGTAAATGCTGGGTTACGATATATATATATATTTTTGACGTAGTTTCTATGCGATTTCATTGTTAACGTGTATTTTATGCTGAACACGATAATGGCATAGTTTTGTGTACATGGATTTCTTTGTGGTTGCAGTAGTTTCGTATTTCTCAGCGGCACCAATGTTCTACGTTGGACTTCAAGTAAAACCCAAAATATCGCATATAAATTTACAAATCAGGCAGAATCTTCCACTTGGAAGGTTCGGGTAACATAATCTCCGTAGCTTTGTACCCGTTTATGTAATGTTTCGTCAAGTTTTACCTGCCTGTATGCGTGTCGAATTACAGAAGTATAAACCGTGAAATTCAGTTTCGTAGTTACATAAAACAACTTAAGAATCAACGGAGCGAAATGAAACATTTTTACTGAGTGATCAAAAAAAAATAAAACGTTATTCGAAATTAAAATCTTAAATTAAAAAAATATGTCATCGTCCCCTACAAAAAATAAATAAATATGTAAAAATAAATATGTAAAATTTAAATATATATATAATATATATATATATATATATATATATATATATATAATATATAAATTAAAACGTTATTCGAAACGAAAATTTTAAATTAAAAAAAAATATGTCATCGTCCCCCACAAAAATATAATTAAATAAATAAACTGAATATTCTAAAACTTAAAAAATGAAATCGCGAATTCTGTTTCGATCAACTGAAGGGATACTGTTTGACCAGTGTTTTGAAATAGCTTGGGAGGCGATCAGATTGCATAGAAAATTCGCATTCAACATATAGGATTTGAATTAGAAGCCAAAAAAAAAAAAAAAAAAAATAGATGCGCATTCTTCGTTGCCAATTTGGCTTTAGGCGGATGCTAACTGAGAAAAAAAAAGACAGTAAAAATAGATGTTTAGCAAATATATGCATAAACAAAACTATTAGTCTTTACTAGTAGAACCCGTAAAAAAATCATGTATTTCTTGTTTGAATTTTGTTTTTGTTTTGCATTCTTTTTTCTCACAGAAAACAAACAGCGTCACTTTTATCCTGTTTTTTCTTCTCCATCAAAATTGAACAATCCATTATCTATGAAGTACTTTCAGGTCGTTTCTTTCTATTGTTTTTTTTTTTAATTTTCTAACTAAAACCAAATAGCGTTTCTGATATGAATTTTCTGTCTTTCCACACCCATCAAAACAGAACAGTCCATTATTTATGATTTACTGGAAGGGCGTTTCTCTCTTTTATCTTTATTTTTCTTTTTCCCAATGAAACCAAGTAGCGTCTCTTCTGTCTTTGCAGGCTATCAAAACGAAACTCCCCATTAATTTTGTGGTATTGGCAGGGCGTTTTATTTTTTCTTTCTTTCTTCCTTTCTTTGTTTTTTCTCACTGAAACAAAATAGTGTCTCTGTATGGCTTTTCCATCTTCCCAACCGATCAAAACTAAAAGCTCCATTAACTTTGAGGCATTGGCAGTGCGTTTATTTTTCTTTTTTCTTTCTTTCTTCCTTTCTTTTTTTTTTCTCAGAGAAATCAAGT